TGAAAGAATGGATGGTCGGTAAATGGGGTGAATCAACAGATGTGTGAAAGAGGGACAGATTAATGATTAGATGATGAATAGAGGGATCACTGGCTGGGTGGCTGGTTGTGTGGATGAAAGAATGGTTAGATGGCCTGCTACGATAGCTGGGTGGGTGGCTCTCTGAGTTGCTGGGTGGGTACAGACACGGTGGTTTGTCAGAAGGTGCGGTGCATGACTAGGTGGATGAATGAGTGAATGAGTTAGCTAGATAGTCTAACTGTTGAGTGGCTTAGTTGAAGAAAGTTTAATGGATGGATGAACAGATTTATATGGAGGACAATGAGTGGGGCGACACATACCCCACACCTGCCCATTATAACCCCAACGGGACTCCTCTGTGAGTGTACTAGGTACTAGGCAAGGGACTCCACGTCAGGAAGGCAACAGCAGCGACTTGTAACTGGGGCTTACTGTCAAGTGGACAAAGTGCTTTACGTGGCTATGTCATGCTGTCTCACAGCAACCCTAGAAAGTAAGCACGTCACTTCCTTTCATAGATGAGGAAATGGAGACAGAGATTAAGTGACTTTCCCAAAGTCCCCAGAGTTAACAGGAGGAGGAGGCAGGACTGAAACTCGAGAAGGGTCCTGACGCCAGCACTTCTCCAGAGCCGCAGTGATGCGAAGCAGCGGCCGGCATGACCACCCCTCAACAGTCAGGGGGACCCACGCGCACTGAGCAGGTCTGAGCCGCGGCATCACGAAGGCCTGTGCTGGCCTCTGGGCTCAGGCCCAGGGCCCAGTGACCAGCACGGGGCTCCAATGTACCTGGCAAATAGAAGGTGCTCAATAAAAATGTGCCAACCCGAAGGAGACCAGGCCCCAGGCAACCTCTGCCCTGCACTTACCCGAGAACAAGGGGCAGATCTTTTCCCAGCAGGTGATGCCCCCTTCCGAGGTGTACTGGCCTATGATTACCTCCAGGAAAAACACAGGCAGGCCGCCCCCAAACAGGAAAATAAAATACGGTATGAGAAATGCACCTGCAGAGAGAAGAGAGTGGGAGACGGTGAGCTGCAGCTCTCAATGGCTGCTGCGCCAGAGAACAAGGGGGGACGTGGCGAGGAATAAATGCCCACTCTGGGCCTGGCTGGAAAACCCTCCAGACCTGGCCCACCTGCCCAGCGGGCAGCACATCGTAGCCCGTGTGCCCTCCTCACCTTGAAACCGACTAGGTGCTTTCACCTCGAGCCATGGCTCACACTGCACGCGCCCAGCGCCCCAGCTCGCCCCGAGTCAGCACCAGCGGTGCCCGAGCCCCATCTCAAATACCCCCTCCTCACAGAGCCTCACCCACCCCGCTCCTGCACCTGCCCAGGGCAGGCGCTCAGAACTAGCCAGGATGGGCGGTGCAGGGGCGAAGAGAGCGGGAGCCAGGGAGTGCAGGGCAGGAGGGCAAGGGCCCCACCCCTCCACACTCCTGTCTGGTGCCTGTCTGGGGGGGCTGCGACAGAGCGGGCTGAGGGAGGGGAGTCCGGCGCCGACACGGCACCCCCAAGCTCACCTCCACCGTTCTTGTAGCAGAGGTACGGGAAACGCCAGACGTTGCCCAAGCCCACAAAGCCGCCAGCCACGGAGAGCACAAAGTCGATCTTGCTGGCCCACTTCTCCCGCTGCGGGGGCTTGCCCTCCGCCTCGTCCTCCGGCCGGGTGCCGGGGCTCTTCCCAGGGGACGGCTTCAAGATGTCCTTGTGGAAGTCTTTCAGACACTGCAGCTTCTCTTTGGTGGCCATCTCCTCCGGGCTCTCTGTGGGGAGAGCACGGCAGACGTCGAGGGCGGGCAGCCCATGTCTCAGCAGATCCCCTCCCTCGTCCCACCCGGCGGCGCTGACCTGCCCAGGGCCGTAGCAGGGGCCTGCAACCCCCACATCCGTCCACTGCTCTGACAACATCCTGAGCGGTTCAGCGCACCCCCTTCAGGTGAGCGGGAACCGCAAGGGTCAGGCATAAGTGGACAGTGTCCGTGTCCCCCAATACCTGTGGAAGAGAACCACGGGCTGGGTGGCGGATGCCCCCCCAAGGCGAGGCTTCATGGGCACCCAAAGCTAAGTGTGAAGCCGCCTCGGCCCTGGCGTCAGCTCACAAACACAACACCCCCTGTCCCGGCAGTTCTAAGGCGCCTCCCAAAGCTTGTAGAAACAAACAGACACTGGCTCCAAATTCCAGGTCTGCACAGAAAACAGCGGCTCCCACCCCAGCGAGCACAGGTCTCCCGTGTCAGGAACTGATAAAGGCAAATGAGGACGGGCCTTCAGGCTAGAAAGGAGCCGATATTTGAAAACGGGGGGACCTGCGGGGGTCAGTCTGGCCGGGGTATCCGCTGCCTGAGGTCTGTTCATGTCCTTGATTGCCGGCCGGTCTCCTCGCCCACGAGTTCAGACTCGGACAAGGGACAGGACGCGTCTGGGCCAGTGCCGTGTGCCGGTGCACACTAGGTCCTCAGGGAAGCACTTGGTGGGTGTTTCCCAGAGCGCGTCTGCAAGCAGCCGCCGCTACGTGCAGACTTCGGCCACTGCCACTTCCAGCCGCGGCCGGGGCACGTCTTGGCTCTAGGGTGAGGAGGGGGCTGCCAGGGCCGAGGTGCTGGGCTGGCCTGGCCCCAGCAGGGGCTGTGCTCTGAGGAGCAGAGGCACAAAAGAACCCCCCTCACCCCCCACCTCCTTCCTCTCCCTGCCTTGGGGTGGGGGACCCCGATTGTTTTGCTATCTGGCGGTGAGCAGACCAAGAAAAGGCTTCCTGGAGCCGACGGGCGGCTGGGGAGCCCTTCCTCCGTCTCCCGAGTGCAGACCGGCGGCGGCATCCGCGCGGCCTTTCTTTGCCCTGCTCCCTGGGGGCGACACGGGGGTCCGGCTGGCGTACGGCTACTGTAAAAATAGCCCGCGCAGCCAGCATTGTTCCAGCACTGGTTTGTGCAGCTCCGATGGTTATCTGGGCGGCCCATTGTGGGCCGGCTGGATGGGAGCATAATTGGAGGATGTGGGGCTCGGCTCCCTCCGAGTGGAGCTGTTTTTCAGGGAGTGACCCCTGCGCCTCCTCGCCAAGGCGGGGCGGTTCCGCCCTTTCGGGGCTCCTGGCTCTCGGACTTGAGGAGGGCGGAGGGCGGCAGGCCGGGGTGGGGAGGCGACCAGCTCCTGCTCACATGGCGCGGGGCCTGGAGAAGCCCTTCCTCCAGGGCCAGGGTCGGCTCCCTGGCGTCACCCCGAAGGGCCTGGCTCAGCCTCTGGGCCCCAGGCCACCGGCAGCACGGGGAGCGAGCATCCCCGAGCCCCCTGCCCAGGTCTGGTTCCCAGTTGGACCCTGGCATCCCGGGGTCTCCTCACTCTCCCGGGAGGTGCCCCGGGCAGCGACCCGTCTCCAGTAGCTGTGCCAGCCCGGCCGGCCCCTGCTCTCCGGAGGTGCACACAGCGCCCGGCCGGCCCCGCCCACCGCCCCACCCAAGGCGCACGCACGCCTGCGTGAGGTCAGACCCCGTACAGGCGCTTCTCGGGGGCTCAGTCCAAGCCTCCCTGGGGTGTCTGACGAGTCCGTGCCCGTGAAAGCCCACTTGCAGCAGGACCTGGGATTCTGCCTCCCGTACATTCCTGGCATCCACCCACAGCTCTGTCGCCATGGCAACCCCCGTGCTCCGCGCCCGCCAGCCCTCACATGGGCATCCACGGCAGCCTCCTTCCTGGGTCTCCCTGCGCTACTCTGCCCACCCCTCCCCCAAGTCTATTCTCAACACTGCAGCTGAAAGCAACTCATGAAGCACACTCATCACAGTCTCCCCCCAATATTCCATCACCCCGAGATGGAACCTCAGCTCCTCCCCAAGGTCCACCAGGCTACCACTGTGGGCTCCTTTCTCCTGGGGTGCTGGTTTCTACAGAACTGCTTTGGTTTGCCCCACTTCTCGGGCCTGGGTAACCTGAAAGGCTACACTGGTTGTCTGCCAGCAGCCCGGTCCCCTGCTAGAAATTGCCGCGGCGATTCTGGCTGGCTGACCTCAGGCACGCTGTGCAGCCTGTCTGGGCCTCAGATAAACCAAACTGTGCCACCTCATAGGGAAGTGCGGGCGGAACAGGGCGGGAGGAGGGGGATACGGAAAGCGCTTAGGACGGTATTTGGAGAGCAGCTACCGCTCCTACGGCTAGCTGCAATGGAGTCCACCCTGACCTTGAACAGTGCACAGGCCACGTGGCACTCCTGGGACAGAGGGCCGGGAGCCCGATGCCCAGTCGTACCTTGACTGTCCCTCTGCCGGGCCAGCCTGACCTCAGTGGACACCTCCCGGGGGCCCCGCTGGCCACTCTGCAGAGTGGAGAGCAGACCCATCAACCCTCAGCAGCCACCCGACAGGCTGCCCCATGGAGCGCTCCATGCCCAGGGGCGAGCCCCTCCTCGGCAGCCGCTGTCCTGCTGACTCCTGGAGCTGTTTTCCTTGGCGCCCAGCCCAGGGCTATTTTGCGCCGACCATGATACATAATTCCCCATTTTAAGAGCTTCCTCTCTGGTTATTACAGCTACAAGTGATTAGCGTCGGCTCCCATGCAGAGGCTCCAGAGGAAGGCTCCCTTCTCGCCCAGCAGAGTCTCGTCTCGCCACGGCTCCAGTGGGCAAGGCCGGAGCCCGCTGTGCCTGCAGGCCGCTGGCACTGCAGCCCGGTTGGCTTTGACACGGCTGAGGACAGATTCAGCCCAGATTCAGCCCTGCGCCTGCGATGGTGCGGATTTAAAACGCTCCTTTTCTCTCCTCCCCCTCCCCACTCCACCTCCAGCTTCAAATTACCAGGTACTGGCCCTCCCTGGTGGCGCAGCGGGTTAAAGCACAGCAGTAAGAAGCTAAAGCCGCTTCCGCATGAGTTTGATCCCCACCTGTTGCGGAGGTGACCACATGGCGTGGCAGACCTCTCCTGACCCGCCCGCTGCTCCCCTCAGCAGTGGACTCAGCAGTGGACAGTCAGTCGGCCTGTTCTGCTCCCCACTCTGTCTCTGGTGAGGCCTCTCACCACCCCTACACCTCTGGCCTGTCCCCCAGTTCTGTATGCACAAATAAAACATATCCTTTAAAAAAAAAAAATTAACAGGTACCTGAGGACTTACTCTGTGCTGAGCTGCACTTAAAGCTTTGTGTTACTCCTCAAACGCTCTTTGTGGAAGGGACTTTTAGTGCCATTTTTTAAATCACAAAAACAGGACATGCAAGTCCACGGGACGGGGGGAGACAGGAGCCAGCGCCCCCAGCTCAGGCACTGGAGCTAAGATTGGAGACAGGAGGCTTTGCGACGTGGCGGGGCGGGGGGCAGGCGAGCTGCAGAGCAGGCCTGTGCCCTGCGGCCCACACCCCTCCTGGGGCCCAGGTGCCCTGGGCCTGCTGGCCTTCGACTGAGGTGCAGAGGGGTGGGCATCCACCCCTTGGAGCCCTTGCCTTTTTCCAGGAGCTGGGGGTTCACTGCTACACCTTCCCCCGCAGGGAGGGCACAGCGCCGTCACCAGCCCAGGCACCAACCCACCTTCTCAGGTACAGTTTCTCACAGGGCCGCATCCTCACACTGTCAGATGTAACCACTGTGAGTTCCTAGCATTGTTAAAAGTAAGAGGCAGGTACTTCTGTTTCCCCCTGGAAAACTCCCCGCATCCCAGCAGTCGCTAAGCTCGAAGCCCTGGGCCCGACAGAAGAGTTAGTTTCTCAGCAAACCTCAAGGTTGGGTAAGCAGCAAGCAAACCCCAGGGCTGGAAGGGAGACCTGGGTGGCAGACCCACTTTACAGGTGAGGAAACCCGAAGCCCCACCTGCTGGGCCTGCTGCGGAGCCGAGCGTAGGCGAGGGCCCCTGTTCTGTCGGGGAGCGCTGGCCTTTTCTTTCCTCGTCTGTTTCCCACCTACTCCCAAGCCAGTGTTCGGGGTCCACTGAGGCCACCATGAAGCTGTGTGGCCCAGATCAAGTAGCAACCTCTCTGTGCGACTCCTCAACAGCTGAAAATGGGGGTGAAAATAAAACTCACCTCAAGATTAAATTGCCTGATACGTATTGACAGATGTTAGCCATAACTGGAGAAAGTAGCTGGCTACGTTGGCTTTTTACTGCGTGTGTGGCAGGCATTGTCTCCCAACGTTTAAGAGAAAAAGAGGGGCCTCCCTGGTGGCGCAAGTGGCTAAGTCTCAGCACCATGAAGCGATCAGATCACCAGCCACTGTGGCACGAGCCCCATCCCTGGCCAGGGAGTGACCCACGTGGCCCAGCAGACCTCCCCTGTCCACCCGCTGCTCCCCCCAAAAGTGTATTTCAGTAGATCTGCTTGTTTTGCTCCCCACTCTCTGGTGAATCCTCTCACTCCACCCTGCACCTCTGGCCTGTACCCCAATTCTTGTACGCATAATTTTTTTTAAAAGAGGAACAGCAAGCATGCCGCATTTATTGAGCACCCTGCACGCATTTAGTCAGCACTGTGCGAGCGCTCTGCAGGTCTGGTCCCAGTGTGGGCGTCACCGACCCAGCTGAGACAAGGCCCTGAGAGGTGCAGCCTCTTGGCGTGGACCCTTGAACGCCCCCCAGGTCTGCTGCAGCCTCCGAGGCCCACACGCTCAGCCAGGCTGCTGTTCAGCTCACTTGCATTCACAGTGTGGTCACCCAGTGAAATGGGGTCTGGCGCCTTTAAGCCACTGGCCTGGGGACTGACAAATAAGGGAACTAGGCAAGAGTGAACAGGAAAGCGAAGGGTCACATGACAGAAGGGGCTCGGGGAGCAGTCGGGAGCCCAGGGCCCTGG